TACCATCTACCTAGTTTCGATGCTACCATCAACTTAGTTTCAATGCTACCATCTACCTATTTTCAACGCTACCATCTACCTATTTTCAGCGCTACCATCTACCTATTTTCAACGCTACCATCTACCTAGTTTCAGTGCTACTATCTACCTATTTTCAACGCTACTATCTACCTATTTTCAACGATACCATCTACCTAGTTTCAATGCTACCATCTACCTAGTTTCAACGCTTCTATCTACCTAGTTTCAATGCTACCATCTACCTAGTTTCAGCGCTACCATTTACCTAGTTTCAACGCTACCATCTACCTAATTTCAACGCTACCATTTACCTAGTTTCAACGCTACCATCTACCTAGTTTCAATGCTACCATCTACCTAATTTCAACGCTACCATCTACCTAGTTTCAACGCTACCATCTACCTAATTTCAACACTACCATTTACCTAGTTTCAACGCTACCATCTACCTGGTTTCAATGCTACCATCTACCTAGTTTCAACACTACCATCTACCTATTTTCAACACTACCATCTACCTAGTTTCAATGCTACCATCTACCTAGTTTCAGTGCTACCATTTACCTAGTTTCAATGCTACCATCTACCTTTTTTCAACGCTACCATTTAGTTTCAATGCTACCATTTACCTAGTTTAAACGCTACCATCTGCCTAGTTTCAATGCTACCATCTACCTAGTTTCAACGCTACCATCTACCTAGTTTCAACGCTACCATCTACCTAGTTTCAAAGCTACCATCTACCTAGTTTCAACACTACCATCTACCTATTTTCAACGCTACCATCTACCTAGTTTCAACGCTACCATCTTCCTAGTTTCAACGCTACTATTACCTAGTTTCAACGCTACCATCTACCTAGTTTCAACGCTATCATCTACCTATTTTCAACGCTACAATCTACCTAGTTTCAACACTACCATCTAAATAGTTTCCACGCTACCATCTACCTAGTTTCAACGCTACCATCTACCTAGTTTCAACGCTGCCATTTACCTAGTTTCAACGCTACCCTCTACCTAGTTTCAACGCTACCATCTACCTAATTTTCAACGCTACCATCTACCTAGTTTCAACGCTACCATCTACCTAGTTTCAACGCTACCATCTGCCTAGTTTCAACGCTGCCATGTACCTAGTTTCAACGCTACCATCTAACTAGTTTCAACGCTACCATTTACCTAGTTTCAACGCTACCATCTACCTAGTTTTAACGCTACTATCTGCCTAGTTTCAACGCTACCATCTACCTAGTTTCAACGCTACCATCTACCTATTTTCAATGCTACCATCTACCTAGTTTCAACGCTACCATCTACCTACTTTCAACGCTACCATCTACCTAGTTTCAACGCTACCATCTACCTATTTTCAACACTACCATCTAACTATTTTCAATGCTACCATCTATTTTCAACGCTACTATCTACCTAGTTTCAACGCTACCATCTACCTAGTTTCAACGCTACCATCTACCTATTTTCAACGCTACCATCTACCTATTTTCAAAGCTACCATCTACCTATTTTCAAAGCTACCATCTACCTATTTTCAACGCTACCATCTACCTATTTTCAACGCTACCATCTATTTTCAACGCTGCCATCTATTTTCAACGCTACCATCTACCTAGTTTCAATGCTACCATCTACCTAGTTTCAACGCTATCATCTACCTAGTTTCAACGCTACCATCTACCTAATTTCAACGCTACCATTTACCTAGTTTCAACGCTACCATCTACCTAGTTTTAAAGCTACCATCTACCTAGTTTCAATGCTACCATCTACCTAATTTCAACCCTACCATTTACCTAGTTTCAACGCTACCATCTACCCAGTTTTCACCAGCTACCATCTTCCTATTTTCAACGCTACCATCTACCTAGTTTTCAACGCTACCATACCTATTTCAACGCTATCTATTACCTAGTTTTTCAGAGCTACCATCTACCATAGTTTCAACCCTACCATCTACCCTAGTTTCCACCTACCATCTACCTTTTCAACGCTACCATCTACCTAGTTTTCAACGTACCATTATACCTAGTTTCAACGCTACCTCTACCCTGTTCAACGCTACCATCTACCTATTTTCAACGCTACCATCTACCTAGTTTCAAGCTACCTATCTACCTAGTTTCAAGCTACCATCTGCCTAGTTTCAACGCTACCATGTACCTATTTCAACGCTACCATTAACTTAGTTTCAACGCTCTATACCTATTTCAACGCTAGTTTACATTTCACGCTACCATCTACCTAGTTTTAATGATACATCTACCTAGTTTATGCAACTACCATCTACCTATTTCAACGTTACCATCTACCTAGTTTCAACGCTACCATCTACCTAGTTTCAACGCTACCATTACCTAGTTTCAACGCTACCATCTACCTAGTTTCAACGCTACCATCTACCTATTTTCAACGCTACCATCTAAATATTTTCAACGCTACCATCTACTTTTCAACGCTACTATCTACCTAGTTTCAACGCTACCATCTACCTATTTCAACGCTACCATTCTACCTATTTCACAAGCTACCATCTACCTATTTTCAACGCTACCATTTACCTATTTCAATGCTACCATCTACCTATTTTCAGCGCTACCATCTACCTATTTTCAACGCTACATCTACCTAGTTTCAAGGCTACTATTACCTATTTCAACGCTACTATCTACCTATTTCAACGCTACCATCTACCTAGTTTCAATGCTACCATCTACCTATTTCAACGCTACCATTACCTAGTTTCAACGCTACCATCTACATAGTTTTAAAGCTACCATCTACCTAATTTCAACGCTACCATTTACCTAGTTTCAACGCTACCATCTACCTAGTTTCAACGCTACCATCTACCTAGTTTCAACGCTACCATCTACCTAATTTCAAACTACCATCTACCTGTTTCGATGCTACCATCTACCTATTTCAATGCTACATCTACTAGTTTCAACGCTACCATCTACCTATTTCAACGCTACCATCTTCCATTTCAACGCACCATCTACCTAGTTTCAACGCTACCATCTACCTAGTTTCAACGCTACATTTCCTATTTTTAGAGCTACCATCTACTAGTTTCAACGCTACCATCCCTAGTTTCCACTTACCATCTACCTAGTTTCAACGCTCCATCACCAAATTCAACGTTACCATTTTACCTAGTTTCCCCGCCCCCCTTTCCTAGTTTCAACGACCATCTACCTAATTTTCAAAGCACCATTACCTAGTTTCAACGCTACCAACCTAGTTTCAACGCCCATCTGCCTAGTTTTAACGCTACCATGTACCTAGTTTCAACGCTACCATATAACTAGTTTTTAAAGCTCCTTTACCTAGTTTCAAAGCTCCCTCCCTTTTTTTAAAGATACTACTACCGTTTCAATCTACCATCTACCATTTCAACGTTACCATCACTATTTCAACCCCATCTACCTAGTTTCAAGCTACCATCTACCTAGTTTCAACGCACCCTCTACCTAGTTTCAACGTACCATCTACTATTTTTAACGTACCCTCTAAATATTTTCAAAGCACCCTCTATTTTCACGCTACATCTACCTAGTTTCAACGCTACCCCTACCCACTTTTTAACCCACCACTACCCATTTTCAAAAACTACCATCTACCTATTTTCAACCTACCATCACCATTTTCAACGACCCCACCTTTTTTCAGCGTACCTCTACATTTTAAAAGCTAACATTTCCCAGTTTCGGCAAAACTACCCATTTTAACGCTACTATCACTATTTTAAAGCTACCCTTACCTAGTTTTTAATCTACCATCTACCTATTTTTAACGCTACCACTACCTAGTTTCAACCCTACCACTACCTAGTTTTAAAGCTACCATCTACCTATTTTAAGCCCATTTACCTAGTTTCAAGCTACCATCTTCCGTTTCAACGCTACCACTACCTAGTTTTTAACACTACCCTCTATATTTTCAACACTACCATTTTCCCCTTTT